CTGGGAAGATCCCACGTACCAAAAAAAAAAAAAAAAAAAAAAAAAATTTAAGATGTAAACTCAAGGGCAAAGATTTAATAAACTTAATAATTCTGTACTGCTTCATCAGGGACTTTCTTAAGTGAAAGTGGCCTGGTGGGGAAGAACATGACTTCTAGTACAGGTTGGTGCAATTTTCTTGACTCATGGGAAGGTCCACCGTTGCTTTTGCATCATCAGTGCAAATATCAATATAGTTAAAAAGGCAAACAACATCTTGCATTATTTATGAAAATAATAATGGACCCCCTGAAAGGGTCTTGGGAACGCCCAGGATCACCAGAACACACTTCAATAACTGCTGCCTTCTCCATTTTTCTATTGGGTTGTTGAGGTTTTTTAACTAATTTAAGAAGTTTTTGTTTCATTTTGTTTTGTTTTTAATTCAGATTAGCTCTAACATTTCATGTGTCATGAAAATATCGTTTGGGGGAGACACTAGGGAAATAGGTGTATTATATAGTTGAATGTAATGGTCTTTTCCAGTTTGAGTTTTGCTTCCTTTTTTTTTTTTGTTTCAAATGCTTAGCAAGTTCTTCCCATATTAACTTGGATAAATATTTGATATTCACCTTTACATTTTTTTAGAGATTTGATAATTTCACCTTTTCTGATTATTTAATCCTTTGGAATCTATTTATTCAACTAATATGTGTCCAGTGGCTACTGTTAACCTGGCACTGTGAACTTGGGAACTTCAGTCAACAAAACAAAGATCCTGCCCTCAAAGACCCTACATGTTAGGGGCAGTTGAGGAGACATAATAAAAACAGATGCACTAAGTAATTTAGTTGTATAATGTGTTTAAATGTAAGTGCTAGGGACTTCCCTGGTGGCGCAGTGGTTAAGAATCAGCCTGCTGGGCTTCCCTGGTGGTGCAATGGTTGAGAGTCTGCCTGCTGATGCAGGGGACGCGGGTTCGTGCCCCGGTCCGGGAGGATGCCACATGCCACGGAGCAGCTGGGTCCGTGAGCCATGTCCGCTGGGCCTGTGCGTCCGGAGCCTGTGCTCTGGGACGGGAGAGGCCACAGCAGTGAGAGGCCCGCGTACTGCTAAAAAAAAAAAAAAAAAAAGCAGTGGTTAAGAACCACCCTGCCAATGCAGGGGACACGGGTTCAAGCTCTGGTCCGGGAAGATCCCACATGCCACGGAACAACTAAGCCCATGCAACACAACTACTGAGCCTGTGCTCTAGAGCCTGCAAGCCACAACTATTGAGCCCACAAGCTACAAGTACTGAAGCCTGTGCGTCGAGCCCATCCTCTGCAACAAGAGAAGCCACTGCAATGAGAAGCCTACGCACCACATCAAAGAGTTGCCCGCATTCGCCTCAACTAGAGAAAGCCCACGTGCAGCAACAAAGACCCAATGCAGCCATAAATAAATAAATAAATAAATAAATAAAGTTCATTCTGGGAACTTCCCTGGTGGCACAGTGGTTAAGAATTTGTCTGCCAATGCAGGGGACACAGGCTCGAGCCCTGGTCTGGGAAGATCCCACATGCCACAGAGCAACTAAGCCCGTGAGCCAGAACTACTGAGCCTGTGCTCTAGAGCCCATGATCCACAACTATTGAGCCCGTGTATCACAACTACTGAAGCCTGCGTGCCTAGAGCCTGTGCTCTGCAACAAGAGAAGCCACCGCAGTGAGAAGCCCGTGGACCACAACAAAGAGTAGCCCCCGCTCATCACAACTAGCGAAAGCCCATGTGCAGCAACAAAGACCCAACGCAGCCAAAATAAGTTAATTAATTAATTTTTTTAAAAAAGTAAGTGCTGGGACTTCCTGGCGGTCCAGTGGTTAAGACACCATGCTTCCATTGCAGGGCGCACAGGTTTGATCCATGGTAGGTAAACTAAGATCCCACATGCCACACAGTATGGCCAAATAAATAAATAATAATAAATAACAAATAATAAAATAAACTTGTTTTAAAAAAAATTCCCTCTCTGTTTAAAAAAAAACAAAAACAAGTAAGTGCTTTTTTTTTTCTGCGGTACGCGGGTCTCTCACTGTTGTGGCCTCTCCTGATGCGGAGCACTCTCAACCACTGCGCCACCAGGGAAGCCCCGTAAGTGCTTTTTGAAGAACATTTTGGATGGTGGAAATGTTCCATATCTTGATGGGGTAGTGGTTATATATGGCAAAGTGCATTTCAAATGTACACTTCAAAAACAGGCAAATCTTGTTGTCTGCCATTAGACTTCAGTAAAGTTGATTTAGAAAAGAAAGGGCTTCCCTGGTGGCTCAGTGGTTAAGAATCTGCCTGCCAATGCAGAGGATACAGGTTCGTGCCCCAGTCCGGGAAGATCCCACATGCCACAGAGCAGCTAGGCCCGTGAGCCCATGGCCACTGAGCCTGCGCTCTAGAGCCCGCGAGCCACAACTACTGTGGCCCATGCACCTGGAGCCTGTGCTCTGCGAAGAAAGAAGCCACCGCAATGAAAGCCCACACACAGCAACAAAGACCCAACGCAGCCATAAATTAATTAATTAATTAAACATATTTTTTAAAGAAAAGAAAGCAAGAGAAAAGATGCCTCACCCTCTCATTCCTTCCACTGCCAATGGGTAACCACTGTTAACAGTTTGGGTCCTTCTATACCATTTTAAAAATAAACAGTGCTAGGGTTCTAGCACTTCTTTCACCCTAAACTCTAGATTTTCCCCTTCGCTTCCTTGGTTTCTAGCGCATCTGATTTAGCATTCATTCATTAAATGCATATTTATTGAGAGCATGCTATGCACCAAGCATTGTGATGGGGCCATAACAGCAAAGATAGACAGACATGATCTTGCCCTTGAAAAGCTTATAGTCTCCTGAGGGATACAGACAAGTCAAATGGCAGTTATAATACAGGGCAATAAGCACTCTGATGAGACACTATGGTAGCACATGGAAGGGGAACCTAACCAAGCCTGGGGTTTAGGAAGGCTTCCAGGAAGAGATGACCTCTAATCTCAGACCTGAAGGCTGAATAGGAGTTAACAAGATGTTTATACTTCTGATGATGGAGTAACAGGGACTGGATTTATTCTCTCAACATAAGTAACTAGAAAACTGGACAAAAAATATGAAAAGTGTTTTCAGGCTTTACACAACAGGTAACTCAGCACTACCTGGGAAAGAAACGAAATGAAAGGGAGATCCCAAGCAGAGCACAGTGGTCATACTAAATTGATATGACAGATACCAGAATTCGGGGTTGAGGTGGCTGGAAGTTGCCAGAGTTCTGCAGAGGAGGGAGTTATGAAGAAAGAGACCTCCAGAAATCTACATAAGGGTTCTTCTGAGTCTTTGCTGAACACAAGATACACATTCACAGGGTAAAACTTCACAAAGCCAGGTACTCTGAGGCACTGTGGGCACAGAGATGAACACTTCCCAGACCTCACAGAGGACTGACACAAATCAATTTCCACTCAGTCAGAGTGGACAGTCATCACCAATCATACAGGAATTCAGGAGAGACCTCAGAAGGGCCCTGCTTTACTTGGGGGGTAAATTATTTCCTAGATTAAAGGCCACTCTATACTCACCCCAACAGAACTTAAAAACAAGCTTCAGAAGGATCAAACTGAACCACAAGTAGCTAAACTGCATCCTAGAACAAAGTCCAACACTCTAAAGGAAGAAAAAAAATCCAACAACGTAAAATTCACAATGTCCAGCATCCAATCAAAAATCACTAGTCAGGGCTTCCCTGGTGGCGCAGTGGTTGAGAGTCCGCCTGCCGATGCAGGGGACACGGGTTCGTGCCCCGGTCCGGGAAGAT